AAAAAAAAAAAAAAAGATACATATAGGGGACGCCTGGGTGGCTCAGTTGGTTAAGTGTCTGACTTTGGCTCGGGTCATGATCCTGGAGTCCTGGGATCAAGTCCCACGTCGGGCTCCCTGCTCAGCGAGGAGCCTGCTTCTCCCTCTAACCCTCCCCCTTCTCATGTACTCTCTCTCTCTCTCATTCTCGCTCTCTCAAATAAATAAATCTTTAAAAATAAATAAATAAATAAAAATAAAAAAAAGAATAAAATACTCAGGAATAAATTAAACCTAGAAAATGAAAGACTTGTACACTAGAAACTACAAACAGTGCTGAAAAGAGTAAAGAAGACATAAATAAATGGAAAGACTCCATGTTCATAGATTGGAAGACTTAATTTTGTTAAGATGACAATACTACCCAAAGTGCTCTATAGACTAATTATCTATCAAGATCCCAATGGCATTTTTTTTTGGTAGAAATAGAAAACCCATCCTAAAATTTATACTTTTTTAAAGATTTTATTCATTTGAGAGAGAGAGAGCACAAGAGAGGGGAGGGTCAGAGAGAGAAGCAGACCCCACTGAACAGGGAGCCCGATGCGGGGCTCTGAGACCATGACCTGAGCCAAAGGCAGTCGCTTAAGAGACTGAGCCACCCAGGCGCCCTCCATCTTAAAATTTATATGGAATCTAAAGGGATCCCAAACAGCCAAAACAATCTTGAAAACGAACAAAGTTGGAGAACTCACACTTTCCAGTTTTAAAACTTACTACATAACTACAGTAATCAAAATAGTGTGATAGTTGCATGAGGACAGACATATAGACCAAAAAAACGAGAGTCTAGAAATACATCCTCACATATATGGCCAACTGATTCTTTTTCTTTCTTTTCTTCCTTCCCTCTTTCCCTTCCTTTCCCTTTCCCCAGCCCCTTTCCTCCCTCCCTGTCTTTCTTTCTTTCGTTTAAGTAATCTCTAAGCCCAGCCTGGTGGTCAAACTCACAAGCCTGAGATCAAAAGTCACATGCTCTACCCACTGAGACAGCCAGGCTCCACATGGTCAACTGATTCTCCATGAGAGCATCACGATCATTTAAAGTGGGAAAAGACAGTCTCCCCAACAAATGGTGCTGGAAAAACTGGATATCAGCATAGAAAAGAAAGAAGTGGGACCCTTATCTTACACTACATATAAAAATTAACTTGAAATAGATCAAAGGCCTAGTAAAGCTAGAACTATAAAACTCTTAGAAGAAAACATAGGAGGAGAGCTTCATGACAGTAGACCTGGCAATGATTTCTTGCATACGACATCCAAAACACAATCAATAGAAGAAAAAAATAGGTAAGTCGGACTTTATCAAGATTTACAACTTTTGTGTCAGATACTATCATCAAGAGAGTGAAAATAATCTACAGAATGGAAGAATGTATTTTCAAATCATACATCCGGTAAGTTCTAATATAGAGAATATATAAAGAGCTCCTACAATTCAACCATTAAAAAAAACCCACTTAAAAAATAGACGAAGGAGGGCGCCTGGGTGGCTCAGTCGGTTAAGCGACTGCCTTCGGCTCAGGTCATGATCCTGGAGTCCCGGGATCGAGTCCCGCATCGG